GGACACCAAGGAATTTGGTGCTCTTGACGACCTCCACACAGGATCCATGGATGTTAACTGGACAGTGATCTCTCAGTCCTCTCTTGAACTCAACAATCATCTCTTGTTTTGTCACATTCAGAGACAGGTTGTTGGCTCTACACCAGTCCATTAGCTTTTGCACCTCCCCTCTGCATGCTGACTTGTCGTTCTTGCTGATGAGACCCACCACAGTCATGTCATTGGTGAACTTGATATTGATATTGTGTTAAGGTTTAAATATTGAGGAAGGAGAGTACAAACAACCATGGTCCAACAAGAGCTTAGTCAGACAATTGATTTTAATGAAATACACGCGTGGGAAGACCTGCTCATGCGTCATCAGATACAATATATGCATACGTCAATTCAAAACCACAATGACTTTTAACACAGTTTAAAAAGGAACATTGTCTCTATCTTCATGGCAGCTGTTTCCTGTCAACCTGCACTTAGACTCTGCTTTCGGTTTCAGTTCTGCAAAAGGCACACTCTGCAAACCTGCAACTTCCTGTCAGCCTGCCACTTAGTCTTTCTGAAAGACACACACTGTTTAAACATCTGAATGCAATATCAATACTGTAGATTATATTATTAGTGCAATGGTAATGATGATGATTATTAACAATAGCAGTAAAATAATTTCCCTGATCTCCACAATTGTTTGAACTGTGCATTCCAGCACTGTCCTGAGTCAGCAGAGTGAACACCAGTAGGCTAAGCCCACAGCTCTGAGGTGTTGGAGATGCTGTTTCTAATCCAGACTGTCTGAGGCCTCTCCGTCAGAAAGTCCAGGATCCAGTTGCAGAGGGAGGTGTTTAGCCCAGACAGGCTCAGTTTTCTGATCAGGTGCTGAGGAATGATTGTGTTGGATGCTGAACTTAAGTCTATGAACAGCATAGACCCCTTAGTGCTTGACACACTGCTGCTTCCTCACACACCGCTTTTGGCGACACATCCCCTTGCCACCAGCATCAGGTGACGTTGAAGACTCTAGGCCTGGTTGCTGTAGCAACCCAAGGACGCGTAGTGTTTCGAGCATTTCCTGGTCAGTTTTTGTGTGATGCTTGTAATTTAGAAGCGGTTGCTGTTGGTAAACACCAATTGTTCTGGTGTCCATGTACCATGTAGCTCAGAAGTCAAAATGAAAAGGCAATAGAAAGCACAAAAACAGCATCATTTTGGTCCAGAGTGGCCGCTGTGTGCTTCTGCCGCACCGCGATCCTCCTACTACTAGGAAACGAAATAGTAGAAGATTAAAATATAAATATAAAATATATTTAAGCAGGAATCAGTAAGGTGCTGGTAGATTATTCTTAAAGGTTCCTTAAAAAGACATCCACCTTTGTGCCTAATTACAATAAATGTCCATTGCCCAAAGAGTGCTATAAAGTGCTATAAAACCTTTATATATTCATATTTTTTTTCACTTTAAATTGGTCAGTCTTTTAAAACTATTTCTCCCTGAAATATTCATCTAAAGTTTTAATTATATTTGCGTTGTTTTAACCCTTTAAATCCCAGTTTCATTACACGAGCGCCCTGTTTTTTTAGCCCCAAAAACAAAAAAACTAAATATTTTCCAAAAAAAACATTTGATGTAATATTTGATTGTTATTATAATTAGGCCTTTAGATGGGTCAAAGATTGGAACCAACATTCATTTTGACCTGCCATTATTTTTTTTGCAGGAGCACATTAAAAAAATGCATGAAAAATGCAAATTCCCCAAAAGTGCAATAAAAATATTAAATATTATTTTTTTTTTCACTTTAAATTAAATAAATTTAAATTAAAGCCAGCAGTTGCTGTTGCTGTTTTAGTCCCAGCATGCTGTATATTTTAAAATATAGCTAGTCTATATAATCAACAAATGCTCTACAGTTTGGAAAAATGGAATTCTGTAGTTTTACAGATGTAATATTACAGTTTTTCACATTTTTCACTTTACAGCATGTCCCGTGTCCAGAATATTGAGGATGAGAACAAAACAATGATGATCCAGGAGTGTTCGGTCAAACGATGATTTAATGAACACACACGTGGGGAGATGTACACTGCAAAATATCAGCTGTAGATCTCCACCCCAAAATACACCAGCCGTTGTTTGTATAGCTTCAGGGTATTATTTATGACGCCCCCTCATGCGTCAAAGCAGATACATCACATCTACATCACAAGTGTTCTGTTGACGACCTGCAACACAGTGAAAAAAGAACATCGCCTCCATCCCCATGCCAGGTGTCTTCCTTTAGCTCGTCTTTGCTCTCGCTTATCTCCGGAACATCAGAGCACATCCTACAACAAACTGAAACTCATGCAGGCACAAAATGCAGTTGCAAGAAAAATATGTCTGAACTCTTACCCAAAGGACTATGCCCTAGCAGCACCTGTCCTTCTCCCCCTCTCCTCTTCACCTCATCATAAAGTCATGATCATATTCTGTGTTTAATTTTATTTGTGTTGGACAATTTTGTGGTCTTGCCACATTTCTCACAACCACCATCTTTGGTGCCTGAAATAAAATCTGAAATAAATCTGAAATAAATCCAGACATGACTCCACTTATGATCATAACCACCAGCTCTATTTCACACATCACTATGAGAGGTGGAACCAGTAGTTCCTACCAATCATTAGACAATCCCAATAATATAGTTAGTTTCAGTAGTTAGTGTTCCTGTTAATCATAAACTACAAATTTACTCCCAGATTACAAAAATATTGATATTTTAATTAAGTCTAGATATCTATGGTCAAATATTTTCTTTTTCTTATAACTGCATAGGTTTTATGGTTAGGATATGGATCTGTGATTGCAGAAATAAGTAACTGCCTTTGTTTAGCATTTTAAAAATAAGGGTCAAACACATTTACTTACAGAGCTTTGTTGGAGGCTTTGACAACTGGCAGCAGCCTCAGAAGAGCCTCCTCTGAAGCAGAGTATTTCTT